ATAAAGAATGCATTGCAGCCACCGAGGGCCTCCTGAAAGCCCTCCAAGACCTGGGATATTGGGTGTCTTGGAAGAAAGCTCAGCTCTGCTGGACCAAGATAACCTACTTGGGCTATATTCTTGAAAAGGGAAAGAGAAGGCTAGCAGAATCAAGAGTACCTGCAATTCTCCAGATTCCGAAGCCAGGCTCAAAGAAACAGGTGCGAGAGTTCCTAGGGGCAGTTGTCTATTGCAGGATTTGGATTCCTGGCTTTGCTGAGATTGCCAAACCCCTGCACGAGGCCACTGCAGGAAGAAATACACCCCTCGAATGGAGAATGGACTGAGGCTTGCCAGTAGACATTTCAATTGCTTAAGACTGCACTTGCATCGGCACCAGCCCTGGCATTGCCAGACTTAAACAAGCCCTTTACCCTGTATGTGGCACAGAAAAATGAGGTAGCTAAGGGAGTGATTACTCAGCTTTTGGGGCCATGGAAGCAACCCGTGGTGTACCTCTCAAAGAAGCTCGACCCAGTGGCCTGAGGGTGGCCTACTTGTCTGAGAGCAGTAGCAGCAGCAGCTGCTTTAACCCGAGAGGCTGGCAAATTGACCTTTGGACAGGATTTGACTTTGATCACTCCCCATGCCATTGAGCCCTTGTTGAATAGCTCACCTAGCAAATGGCTGTCTAATGCCAGACTGTTACAATATCAAGGACTCCTATTAGAGCAGCCATGCATTAAATTTGCCACCACCACTAGCCTCAATCTGGCTACTCTACTCCCGGAATCTTACGAACAAATGCCCATCCATGATTGCCTCGAGACTCTTGAAAACTTGAGGGGAGGATGTCTGGGCTTGATGGACCAGGCCCTCCCCCGCGCAGAGATAACTTTCTATACTGATGGGTGCAGTTTTGTTTGTGATGGTGTACGGTATGCTGGAGCGGCAGTGGTCAACCAGGACCAACAGGTGGAATGGGAGCAGGGGCTACCTCGAGGGACATCAGCTCAGAGGGCTGAGCTGATTGCTTTGACCAAGGCTCTGGAATTGGGAAAAGGATAAATATATTCACTGTTAGCCATTATGCTTTTGCCACCCCCCACGTACACGGGGAAATTTATCAAAATAGAGGACTGTTGACTTCCAAAGGAAAGGAAATCTAAAATAAGACTGAGATATTGGCATTGCTACAAGCCATCTGGTTGCCTCGAGAGGTCACCATCCATTGCTGCGGGCACCAGAAGGGGCTTAGCCCCGAGATGATTGGTAATAATGCTGCTGACCAGGCAGCAAAACAAGCCACCCAAAAATCAGTGGGGAAGCAAATGGTTCTGCTTCCCACGCTGGTACTCCCAGAAAAACCTGAATGCACAGATAAAGAAGTAGCGGAAATGAACAGGAGACACTGGACTCGAGGAAAACATGGATGGTGGACAACTAAGGATGGAAAGGTGTTGCTCCCACCTGCTGTAGCAGATACGTTGCTGCAAGAACTACATGAGTCCACCCACCTTGGTGAGAAAAGGATGATGGCTGCCCTGCGACCTCATTTCGTCAGCGAGGGATTAGCCCAAAAGGCCCAGGACATGGTGAGATGATGCCCCACCTGCCTCAAGGTAAATGTAAATCGGGTAACTGGGTCCCCCAGGGTCCGACACAGAGGATTAACTCCAGGAGAACATTGGGAATTGGACTTTACTGAAATGAAGCCTGGCATGTATGGGTACAAATACCTGCTAGTTTTTGTGGATAC